TGGTGGACGCCTGTAGTCCCAGGTACTCAACAGGTGGAGACGAGAGAATCACTTGAGCCCAAGAGTTTGAGGTTGCTGTGTCATGGCACTCTACCAAGGGTGACAAAGTAAGACTCTGTCTCAAAGAAAATACACGGGCTCTGGGGTCCATGAGCTCGTGGACTCTTCCATACCTTGGCTTCTCCATAAGAGAAAAATAGAAAGAATACTTTTCTTACAGGGTAGTCATGAGGATAAAATGCATTAAACCTTGTAAACTTAAAATCGTGCCTGGCATATGGTGAGCGCTCAGTAAATGTTAGTTTATATGCCTTGGCCAATTCTAGTCTGTCCCTGTCCACCTTCAGCAAAGTTCTCTAGGCCCAACTTTTGCAGAGTCACCCACTCTCTGTATTCCTGAAGCGCTGACTTAAGTGACAACTGAAGGCTCTTTTTTAATCATCTGAGGCCTAAACTAGAGACATCAAGAAAAGATCCAGGAGTTACATCATCATCATCATATCTTATATTTGCAGAAAACATACAGCTATGCCAAATACTCATATATTGCTTTATTTTATCCCCCCTAAAAAACTGATACTCTGCATTATTACGCCCATATACGATAAATAAATCTGGCTCATTGGGATTAAATTATTTTCCACCAGAGGTGACATAGATCCCGTCCCTGAACTGAGGCCCGTCTCCATCTAGCCATAGGCTGTCTTCCTAAAAATCATATGTGGTCACAAAGAATTATCTGGGGTGAGTTATGGACAGCTGCAGTCTGCTTCTCCCTAAAACCACTCTCCAGTTCTCTGTACTCGGCCATTTTAAAGGAGACTTGGCTTAGGGGTGGCCACCTGGCACCAGCTCTGCAGGTTTTGTGAAGTCACATGTGGTCCCAGAGCTGCCAGGAAAGAGGATGCCTTGATGAGCCAAAATGCAAATTCTTAGGAGAGGAAAAGTGAAAGTGAGCTTGTTCACACTGTGCAGGGCTCCAAGGAAATGACACAGTGCGGGAGACACAGTGTCCTGCCACGGGTCCATCATATTACAGGGACAGTATTTTGCATTTGAAAATAATCTTGTCTCCCAACAGTTTACTCCTCTGGTCAGTATGAGAAGCAGAGGTGACCCAAGTTAAAAAGAAGGTAATATTCAAAGCACTGAAAGCTGGCGCCACTTAGACATTTACAATGAAATTCTCTGGGTGCAGGATGGTGGGAATGGGGGGTGGAGGTGGGGAGTGGGCAGCATGGTTTCCCACCAATCCCCAGAGTTTCCCTTGTCCTAGAGACAAGTCATTCAAAGTAGATCAAACCCAAGAGAAGGAAATTTGGGCTCTCCATCCAGTGTATTCACATCTGAAAAGATGTCTAGGGCTTTCACTGGGGTTTCCAAAACCTCTTTGGCTAGAATCCCCCCCCCCCTTTTTTTTTCTTCTGTCTCTCTTCTTCCTCTCTCCACTTCTTTTTTTCTCTCTGCTGATCCTGCCTTCCTCAGAATGCCCCCACTGGCCTGCCAATGAGCTTACAGAGACTCACCTGGTGGGCCAGCCTCAAAGCATAAGGGAACCTAGCTTTTCCTCTGGGCCATTTCAAGGCTGGGTACCTGGATCTTGAATTCTTCTTTGTTAATAACTTCTTGCCCTTCTTTTTGTCTCTCTCAGACTTTCTAAGTTATATTTACAACCAAGGACTGAAGCCTAAGGGATCTGAAAATTGCTGGCATTTTAGACTAGCACAATTAATGGCATTGTTTATAGACAATGTTGTCTTGGGAAACTTACTGAGGGGCATTTAGAGACAGAAACTTTAAAGACTATTTAAAAGTCTTTTAGAAAGATAATTAGAAATTTGATATGACCCAAAGCTTAGAGATTTATGAATGAACCTGCCTGCTCAAATGCAAGTCATATTTGGATGCTTAAGGTGAGAAGCCCTGAGAAATTCAAACCAAATCAATCTTCAGATCATAGGAGGCAGACCATGGCTTCCTTTCAAATGAAGGGAACTGAATTATTCATCGATAATGCCCAACCAGAGAGTTACATTCTGTACAAAGTAAGTACCAGATGTTCACACAAGTTTCTGCTTGAAGAAGGTGGCCAAACAGTTCGAGGAGGTGGCAGGATTCCACCTTGGGGCTGTGGGTAAGGAACCCTCCCCTCCAAGAATATCATTTAAGATGTAGAACCCTTCTCCCCACCTGTTCCCAATGTAGTCCCAAGTCTGAAACCTTCCTGTTTTGATTTCTTGTAGTGTAGTTTAACAGTTCTCATATACTTTACAGGAGTATGTTATAAGACACTGCTGGACACCACCCCCAGAGTTTTCGATTCAACAGGTCTAGGGTGGGCCCCAAGAATCCATGTCTAACAAATCTCCAGGTGATACTGCTGCTGCTGAACCAAGAGCCACACTCTGGGATCGGATTGCCAGAGTGGGAAGACTGGCTCTGTCACCCACAAGCGAGGACTCTCCAACAGGTTAAATCCATTGCTGCCCTCAAACACTCAGGAAGACAGGAGAATTAGCCTATTCCGGCTTGGTCTTGTTTTGAAGGGCAGAGGGGATAACGCGTGGAAGGCACAGCCTCTACTGGGCAGTGCTGCTCAATTCCAGTTGTTGATGTGACTTCTCCCAACACACCTATGCTGCCCCACTGCTCTCCAGCCCAGGGTCTGGATCCACACGGTCCTGATCTATTTGCCCACGCAGAGATCCCCGAGTGTTTGGGGTGCCAGCAGCCTGCAAGGGTTTAGGGGAGCTGGATTGCCCTGGCCTCCCTGGTGCCGCCATTCTGAAGGCACCCGCACCTGCAGAATCCTCACTTTCATCTCTAGACCACCTCAAAGACCCTAATTCAAGTCCTGTACCCATTGCCACTGAATCCACAGGGCTGCAGCCTTACAACAGATGTGAACCCTTTTCACCAATCCCCTGGTGTTCTTTTGCACCCAGAATATGTAGGGAACAAATAAACACAAACTGGTAGCCTCCTGACTGCCATCCTCAGCACTAAATTTTATATTTGGCTAAATCTGGCACACCCCAACCCACCAACCTAGATTTCCAGAGAAAAGGGGGCTTCTTGCTATATAGTACAATTTCCTCTGTGCTCCCTTATCAGTTTTAAGTTTAAAAAATGCCAACCCAGGGTGGCGCCTGTGGCTCAAGGAGTAGGGCGCCAGCCCCATACACTGCAGGTGGCAGGTTCAAACCCGGCCCCAACCAAAAACTAAAAAAAAAAAAAAAGCCAACCCAAGAAAACTGAAGGAAGAAAAAGTCAGAAGAGTTCATTTGCTAGACTTGCTTTTTGTTTTTATTATCAACAATCAAATTAATGGTACACTCTTGGAAAACTATATGCACATGTAGAAATATTTCCCTTTTAAATAGAAGCATTCATTATAACACATATAAATAAATTTGGAAATATGAAACATAAGTTACGACAATGATGTCCACAAACATAGCCCAAAAAGAACAACAACAAAAAAAAAAGAAATCGGACAGACATGCACCTGATAACAAAAATATATACCATTGTTTGAACGGTGGTCTCTAAACACAAAGGATTGGACCCGTGAGAACCTTATACGCCATAAAGACACGCCATAGAGTACAAGGAGAGAAAAACATTATACGGTCACAGAGAGGAGACGGTCGGTACTGATATTAACACGATACAGTTGAGTCACAGAACACAATTGTAGTAAGACACCGAAAAGTTAAAGCCTCAACATTCAACTAATATCTATAGTTTGTGCCTTTTAAAATAAAAACAAACAAACAAAAAAAACGAATCCCAACAGAGATGTCTAAACTGCGGGAAGAATGGAATCATCGATTCAGCCCAGCCAACGTGCAGGGGGTGAGTCCAGTTCGGAGCATTCGAGCAGAAATGCAAACCGAGACCCTTCTGCAAACTTGCGTGCGCCCTCGCCCTTGCTCGGTAGATCTCTCTGGGGCCAGCTGGTTAGTGGACTGTGATGGACTCCAATCCAAAGCAATGCCAAAATGTTCAGTAAAAGCTGGTGGAAGAAGAAATTCCCGGTGCAGGTGGCAGGAAGCGGGTAAGGAAAGTTGCGAAGTATGAGAGGCAGTTTGCAGAGTCTGTGGATGAAAAGGCATCTCACGTAAAGGGCATCTTTCAGGGCCGAGAGGCTGCAAAGATTCGGGGCTGGGAGCTACAGCTGTGCGCGGTTCAGGTGCGCTAATGGCGGCATGGTGTTTGGCGAGGTGGGACAGGCAAGTGGCCGCGCACGAAAGTCACTTTGGCTGCCGGGACAGTCTGAGCGAGTCGTCGCCGCAGTGACCTGAACCCAAGGACACGAGAGAGGAAGGGGGACTGGAAAGGCGTCCCTACTCTCCTCGCAAGAGAAGCCCGCAGGCAGTCCGTGCTGTCAGGAGGGCGCGATTTTAGGGGTTCACAAGATGGAGCCCTCAGCACCAGCTGCAGCTTCCCGCCCCACCCCCTGCTTTACTTCATCTTCTTTTTTCCTTGTATCTTTTAAAAACCTTTCTGGACTGTTGGGTTCTTTTCTTTTTTATGGTTGCCGCCTTCCGAATTTTTATTTATTTATTTGTGTCTCTTTTTCCAAGCAAGTCACTGAGTTAGTTGTGCGCCCCCATCTCTCCCTGCCACCTGCTCCGGCCTTAGCCACACGTTCCCCGAGACAGACCCACCGACGCGCAGAGCCCCTGAGCGCCCCAGTCCCGCGCGCTGCTCGCACCCCGGTGGGCAGGCGGAGCCCTGGTCCCCTTGAGCGCCCCAGTCCCGCGCGCGGCTCGCACCCCGGTGGGCAGGCGGAGCCCTGGCCCCCCTGCGCCTCGGGGGAAGATGCGAAGCCAGGGAAGTTGGGTGTTTTTGTTTTGTTTCGTTTTGCTTGGGGGTTGAGGAAGAGGGAAGAGTGGGGTTGAAATGGGGGCGACGCTGTTTTCTCTTTATTCTGATCGCGATTACTTTAGGCCCTCGATGAAAAAGCCACGGCAGCAGCGGCGACAATGGCCTGGCGCTCCCGCCGTCGCCGCCGCCGCCGCAGGATCCAGATCAGAACATAGTGCTCTTCACTAAGGCGGCTTTGGCACCGTTGGGTCTTTGGAGCGAAGATAGGACGCTGGCGAAGGGGCCCCCAAGCGAATCTGGGATGGAGGTGATGGGCCCGGGGCCGGGAGCCCAGCCTTGTCCTGGGCCCCCGGCCGCAGCCAG